GCCTATTGCTTGATCTCAAACTAAGGAGTTCCTAAGGGCACTATCCAGAAAACATAGACAAGAACCAATTTAGAAAATTGATGATCTAACTTGATATATAGAATCAATTTACATTGCCGCGGAACGGTTTAGAAGCCAATTTATGTAACGTAATTGTGCATAGATTATGAACATTATGTCACTTGTGTAACGTAGAAACTACAGGCAGGTGCGGGAATTCCTGAAACTGCACGAGAATTCTCTAGTTTGTACGTTACACAAATTGACATACCTTTTTTTGTTAACCTATTATGTCCCATTGCTAGGCAAAGGTCTCCCCCAAAATCCGCCATTGCTCCGTGTCATTAGCAATATCCCACCACTCCCTCTCAAACCCATCAAGATCGTCCCGCCAACGCGTTCTCGGCCGTTCTCGGCCGTCCCCACCGTCTCATAACATAATCTCCGTAATATAAAGTTATGGTCTCAAAAATTTGCTATATAACGATGTATAACAACACACTTTCCATTGCGAATCATCGTCATGATCAACATCTCACTGCTGAGCACGGGTCTTCTCTCAGGAAAAGGATTAGTCCACAGGCAGTCCACTGGCCCTATGTTGGGGACTTTACACGTTTTCCGAATGTTGTGAACCCTTCTTCGGCGTGAAAGAAAGAAAGAATTGCAAAAAGATTTAATGTAATATGATTATAATATGATTGTTTTCAAACAAACTAGGATCTCAGGACCATGTCGTAATTTACTTACCTAGCTCGAAGTTCGGCTTCCATATTAGACAGGCCAATCCTGGGCGGAATGTTCCCCTCTTGCACTGCTTCGCATGCCATGGAAAATCGTTCTATGTAGCCATCCTGAAAAGGGTGAAAATTTTAAACAATGATATTATTAATATGGTGCTATTGTGTGCCTATTTACAAAGAGTATCCCCTAGAGCTTCTTACTCGTTTTCCTCAGGAGAATTTACTTTACGAATAAATCAATGTGACAATTTAATAATCGACTTCAAAAAAAGAGAGAGGGAACGTCCTCCCAATTCGACTGTATATAGTTTTGCATACACGATAACTCCGGTATTTGTGAACCGATTTTGATGGTTCCTTTTTGTTGGAAAGAGTGTACCTCAATATTGGTCCCTTTGAAATTTAAAGAGGGTGGCAAACTAGGAGATGAATCCGGTTTCGTGCTCTTTCCGGTAACCGATTTCAATAAAACTTGGCAAATAGATGTAATTCTATGAACTTTGAGGTTTGTATTTTTGCAAAAAGTTATTTCAAGTAAAATTGCTTACCTTTGAAATAAAGGTCTGTTTGATTTGTTTTTTTTTTAAGATGGTAAGCGACACGCCTGTCCACGACAGTTGCAGCGCCACTCAGAGTTTTAAATTGTAAAGGGGAAATGCCACTGCGCCCGTCACTCTGAGACATAAGTTTGTCAACTTATGTCTCAGAGTGACGGGCGTAGTCATCCTTACCCTTCAAAACCGGAACGCAGTAATGATCATATTACTGCTTGACTGTAGAAACAGGTTAGGTGGCAGTCCTCCCCTGGACTAAAAAACTTGATACTTACCAGTGGATGTACAGTAGAATGAGCATCTAAGGCAATGCTGAATATTGGTTTATGGTTGTCGATCCATCGCGTCCCAGGGAGGAGGACGTCCGGGAATATGTAGGAGTAGTTCGCTGGGGGCTCCTCCTGCATCACTGGTAGGTTGAATTCTCCGCAGGTCAGTTTGCCGTTACGGCAGAGTGGTAGCCACTGGAAGATAAAAGTTTGGTTGATTGTTTATCGTTGATAACATCTGCAAGTTTATTGTGACAGTCCAGTAAACACAGAACATGTCCCAATGCTCTTACTTAATAATAATAACAACAAAAATAACATGTAGAAGAGAACTGAAAAAAAATTGTAAATACGTTAAACTGAATTTGGCGACTAGAAAAGGCATATATTGTCCCTTTTGTCCTTTCCTCTAATAGGCGTTATCCCAAACCATCTTCGCCATAACCTCAAATTATTATATTTTAAGGAAACTTTCTATACAAACTTGCAATACATATTGATACATAGAATCCATGGCCAAAAATGCAGCCAGGAAGTTTGTTAACTTTTCCAGGGCACACCCTGGAAAGGTTAAGAAACAAAAAAAGGTTAAAAAAGGTTAAAGCAACTGTCCCGGTGTGAAGTAAAGCCACAGCTTTACTTCACACCGGGACAGTTGCTCCAGCTGCACCAAGCACAAGTCCGGTTTGTGTGTGAAGTAGTTCTGCTAAATATCATCTGCCCTCTTTGGATTCAGTTGAAAAGTGTGTCATGACTCGAATTTAATAGAGGCGAAGCTGCAGAGCCTTGAACACCGCAGTAAAGTTACGTAACGTTAAGTTAGTTAGATATTCTACAAGATACATCACGGAGTAGACTGAGGTTCCAGCTCTAAGTTGTGGACATTTCAAATATTCGTACGAAGCTTTTCACTTACACATTTACATGACGAACAGGTAAGGAGTGGAATTCCCTGCCTGCAGATTTATTCCCCGAACGCTATAATTTGGCCTTTTCAAGGCGAGAGTGAATGTCTTGACGTCTAACTGATGTTATATATATATATATATACACACATATGTGTATATATATGTATATATATATACACACACACACACACACACACACATATATATATATATATAATATATATATATATATATATACACACACACATATATATAAAATATACTATATAATATAGAGTTAGACATCAAAGTAAAAGAGAGTTTCGTCAATATAATTAAATTACATTAAAAAAAATTATAACAATGTTACAAAACGGGCAGTTTTAGCGGTGTTTGACTTACAGAGTACCCGACGGGAGTTTCAACGTTCTTCTCCTGCTCGGGAGCCACGGGTTTGCGTTGGCAGGAGACATGCATGAACGTGAACAACAGGTGGTGCTGGTCGCCGAGGTCTGCAGGCAGCTTGATCTTGATCTCGTCGTAGAGAGACGGGTTCCTATAGAGGAGGGAATAAATGGAATGAACCGGCAAGGGATATAGAGTACAATGACCAAAAGGAACATCATCAGTTGGTAAGATCAATATTATGGTCAGTATGGTCATGGGTTCAAGTCCCATCGGGTCGAAAAGTTTTATCTGTGTTTGACTTTTGTATTAATTATAATAAAAAGTTATGGAGTTATTTCACAAAAAATCTCAACATGAGGCGGCACACCTCTAGTCGAACGACGAGCCCTAGTGCGCAGGCGCCAGCGGGGCAGGCATGAGGTGCGGGCGCGGCCCAGGCTCCGTAATCCAGTCGCGCGTCGGCAGCGCCAGTGCCCAACAAATCATTCTCAACGCCAGACTGCTACACTTGGTAGCAGCCCCCCGGCTCATAAACTTTCCACAAATTAACGCACCTTCTCATTGTTTTTAGAGTCATAAATGTATTAAACGTTCGGTACCGGCACCAACCTCTTTTATTCAGTTGGTCAGGGCACTACATCGAGTATATTGCCAGAAATAGAGACGAAATAAGGGCCATACATTCCTGGTCATCAGTGGTAGATCACTTATAAATATCAACTCTCGTTTGCACTGAAATTACAAATTAGAAAGCTGAAATAGTATAGCGCCAACAACTGACCTGTGTGTACGTCTCCGTATATTCCAAAAATATTCTGTATTTATTGTAATAAAGATAATATCTCTAACAATGGCATGCTGTTCCATTCGGTGGTGTGGAGAAAAACAGCAAAACATCTAATTATAAAACAAACGGAATCAAATTTAATCGGTATATTAATATTAAATATGTAATTTTGCAATTTTCGTCCATTATAGCAAAGCTCAAGGTTAACTGATCGATTTGAAGTGAAACAGTTGACGACACCCGTCAATTGTTTAGAACTCGGGCTAGCCAATCGGAGCGCAGTTGTCACAGTAATGATATGGCAGAATAGTTTTCAAACAAATTAAATGACATTTCGTTTCTATTTCTGGTTATATACTCGATGGGCACTACCAACAAATACATTTGATCAAAAACGACGTCGAGCGAGAGTGAATAGGCACTATTTAAGTGTGCATGCTATATCGTCACCTCATCGTCGCTTTCCATCAGATGAGATGGAGGTCAAATGCGCAGTTATTTATTTATTAAAAAACTTTTAGATTGATATTTAAATTACTTGGTTTTGGTGCCTTTTCTTTCTTAATGTTATTGTTTGTATGTTTTCTGTTTAAATAAATTTTAAGTACACTTCTTGTATTTCTCACTCCTCAATAGCATCCGAATCCAATTGATACAGTCCGCTATACGCCTAGTTTTTATTGTTTTTTTTTCTTATTTATGAACGACTTATTTGATATTTTATAAATGTTTAAACTGCCTCTGTGGCCGAATGGTTACCATACTGGACTGCCACGCAGAGGTCCTAGGTGCGATTTCTGGGCCGGGAGAAATATTTGTATGGCCTACATTTATTTCTCTCGTGAGTTTAGGTGTAATTTGTGGTTGTCTATGTGTCTATGGCACCCGCGACGCAGGGTTTCCCTAGTTCGGGGCTATGTTGAGTGTGTGCGTTACTATTATTATTATTATTTTGTATTTTATAATGAATTTTGCATATCAAATAAACACCATTTTATTTTTATTTTTAGTGATATATAATATAACAATAACAACTAAGAGGTAGCATTTTCCATAGGTTTAAAACCTTTAATGAATAAATAAAATTAAACGTCATCATTTAAACTTACTTGTTGTGATACAGGACGGTTGTGTACGACTCTGTGCCGTGTTCAGGGCAGGAACTGCGACCAAATATGTTCGGCAACGCCATTGCCTGGTCTTCGCCTGACATTAGCTGGATTCGTACCTGTTTATAACAAAAATGTGATATCGAGTTACAGGTTGAAATTACCTAATATAACTTAATCTTAAACTAGAGAACTCTCCGTACTATGAGTATTAGAATCTAGAATCTGCTTCACATTAGTCATTGGGTGTATATGTATTTATAGGTTGATTATGTATCAATATAGTCGTATGCTATATGTTATATATCGCATGTACATTTTATATCGTGTATAATACTTAGTTATTTATAAATTTTCATTTATTTGTGCCTTATTTATGTGTTTTTATTTGTCGTGTGCACCCGTTATTTATTTTGAACTCAGCCCTCCGAATGAGAATGCCTAATGGCAATAAGTCCGCCATTTTTACTTTGTGTGCAAAGTTTAAATAAATAGAATAACGAAATTAACTCAACTTTTTTTTTATAATACCAATTGTGGGACGAACACGTCGTGCGCCCGGTGGTAAGCGACACGCCTTTCCATAACAGTTGCAGTGCCACTCAGAGCTTTAATCGAAAAGATCTTAGGGGCTCTGCCACTGTGTCCGTCATCCTGAGACATAAGTTGTCAAGTCCCATTGCGCTTGTAATTTGCCGACGTACTCAGCGGTAGGCACTTATCGCGTAACCTTAAGCGAGTGACGGGGCCCTGCCCCCGTGCGGAAAACTTGGCGTGCGGACAACGCGCCCACGAAATGTTTGTCTCACGTTGGTACAGGATGCTGACATCTTTTACGACAGCATTAGCAACTAATTTCACACCCCGGACACTCAATACAACAGTCGAAATTTATTAACCTACTACATCTACATGGTACTGCCTCTGTGGCCGATTACGTTACGTGGTCAGAGCGGCAACATAGCGAAAGTTCTAACGCGAATCAGTTATCTATAATTCTATTATTGGAATCCTAATAATATGATATGATATTGTATTTTTCATTAACTAGAATAATATTGAAGATTTTTTTAAATATAAAAAGTGCTTAAAATGTTATATTTCGGATAGGCGCGTTTAAATAAGATAACCAAGTATTTGAAATTGCTTGTCCAACTTTATCATTAGCTAGTAAATAATTATATTCACTACATAACATTTATCAACATTACAAATTGAAAATTCGAAAACCCTTGTCTACTAGTTCATGAACTTATGACGTCTTATTATATTGATATAAGTAATCTGTAATATAATTTATATTATATATTACTATGTACTAAATTAATGAAGAAAACAATAACTGAATGAGTCTCAGATAAGTTTTTTTACTTAATGCGATTCATCTTTTAGAAAACGAAAGAAACTCCTCTCTTTACCCCGATCAGACGACGATAAACAGGCGTACAGAGCACGACTGTTACAAATAACGTATAATAATGTTATATACTAACGTACAAGTTTCATAATGAATTGTAGTATAGATAGACTATATTTATAGTCTAACTGCAACATGTGGTGCGTATTGCTTGGTTAGCATTTAAGTTTACATTTTATTTTATATTGTATTATTTACTCACTTATATTCTGGAGACCGAACAATAAACATGTCTCTTTAAATCAACGTATTTCACTCTACCATCTACGTCCATCCTTTTTAATAATATGAGATGGCGACCCATACCAGCCAACTTATCTTTTGTGAAGAACAGTAAATTTGAACTACACTCGCAAGCAACCAAACCGACTCAATGTCTAAGCGCGCATTCAGAGTAGGTTTTATCAAAAAGTTTACAACCGAATTATAAAAACGTTATATGTTTAAAATGCTTGAAACTTCAGCTTTAAAAATGTATCATTAGCATCAATATCGATTCAGTAGTTTAAAAAAAAATAAAATATGCAGTACAGGGAAATTTACTCGCGGTACCCAGTACGAGTTGGGCGAACAACTAACCCTATAAAACCTCCCGCACGCGGCTTATGCCTACAGCCGCTTTCCAGAAGTTGACCTGAACGCATCTCCGTGAATCGCCATCACTATTTTGACAAAACCATGGATACAACACCGGAAGAAGCCGTTCAAGTTGTTGCTCTTTTGCAACAGGGACTTAGTCAGCGATCTAACGCTGCTCCACTGCACCTAAGCCAATCTGCTGTATCAAGGGTATACAGAAGATTTCTAGAGACTGGTGTATTCGACCGGAGGCCGAGAACCAGCCGTCACAGGTGCACAACTCAAATCGACGATCGGTTCATAGTCTCTACATCTCAACGAAATCGCCACCTGACTGGTGTCGACGTACAGCAAGAGCTAAGACGTGTTCGAGGAGTGGCTGTAAGCGAGTGGACAGTTCGAAGACGCCTGAGGGAAGGCAACTATACACCAAAACGTCCTGCAACTGGTCCGAAATTGACGACAAGCCATCGACAAGCGCGCCTGCAATTTGCTAGAGAGCACCTCAATTGGAACCACGAGCAATGGCGGGCTGTCTTGTTTACTGACGAGTGCAGAATGTGTCTGCATGGCAGTGATAGAAGAGGTCGGGTGTATAGGCGCCCAGGTGAACGATTTTCGCAGTGCTGTTTCGCTGAAACTGTTGCATATGGCGGCGGCTCTTGTATGATGTGGGCTGGAATTTCTTTAGACGAGAAAACCGAACTCGTTTTCGTGCCTGGGGGGACCGAGGAGGAGGATTGACAGCCGATCGGTATATTACCGATATACTCCTAGAACATGTTGTTCCGTACACGGGGTTTGTCGGCGATAACTTCTTATTGATGCACGATAATGCCCGGTGTCACACTTCGCGTATAACTAAGCGGTTTCTGGAAGAAGTCCGTATACAGACCATGGACTGGCCAGCGCTTAGTCCAGACATGAATCCCATCAAACATTTATGGGACGAGCTCAAACGAAGGGTCCGAGCCAGAAATCCGGAAAACCTTCAAATATCAATGAGCTCAAGACGGCGTTGTTAGAGGAATGGGACGGAATTCCTCAAGAAGTTATTAAAAAGTTAATCAGGTCAATGAAAAATCGACTACAAGCTGTTACTAGAGCTAGAGGGGGTAACACCAAATATTAATTAAATAAATTTATTATTATTATTTTACTTTTTTTTGTTTTAATTTGAATAACAATCTCCATAAATTATTTTTCTAAATTCCTATTTTCCCTAATTGTTAACTCTATTACTATTATTTCAAAAACCACGCAATCGATTTTTATGCTAATGAGACCATCTTAAAGCTAAAGTTTCATGCTATCAGAAAATAAGACATTTTTATTAATTGACTGGGTAGTTTTTGATAAAAACTACTTTATATGCAGGTGTAGGGTCTGAGTCGGTTTGGTTGCTCGCGAGTGTACATAACAATGAAGATTTCTAGACAGAGAATTTAATATCAAGAAAGAAAAAAGAAGATCAATTTATAGAAGATCAAGAAGAAAAACTATAGAAGAAAACTAATTGAAGCAAAATTATATTGAAGAATATATTATAGAAGAAAAGAATAGAAGACAAATTATAGAAGAAAAATCATGAAAGAAAAATTATAGAAGAAACATTACAGAAGATTAAAATTAAAAAAAGAAGAGTTAACGTTATAGAAGACTGCAAGAAAGAAGAAACGCGTACGCGCGGTGTCCAGGGTAATATGTATGTGTGGTAATATTATTCTCTCATATGTAATATGAGAGAATAAATGAAAATTATATTCAAATATCAAAGCCGTCTCAGCGCGATAAGGCTCGCCGACAGCCTTGTTGTCGTTCTGTCAATGTGACCGTCAATGTGCGGGGCGTGGTGCTGTATCTAAAGCTAGGGAGGGGCGGAGAGTGTCCATTCTCGTTACTTTTTTGTTCTCTGCTAATTTGTAAAGCAAACCTAGCGTATCAGATATGTATGTAGTATAAGTAATTAGCATGTAAACGTTTTGGTTATTACCGTAAGTTTCTATTGTGTTTTTTTATAAATGTAGTCATTGACTTACAAATAAATGGACGACGGGTCTAATACAAAAACCACGAAAAAAATGTCCCAAGTCAACCTATTTAAACGTAGTGACATGTAAAGGAATATGAAAAAGCTAAAACGTTAGATTTAAATTGTAATGTCATCGCAGTACAGTCTAATTTTGCTTGCTTCGCTGTCAGTCGAACAAACGAAGACTAAAGCGTGAATGACGCTGTGTATACGATTTTAACGCCCTATTTACCGTACACTTTTTAGCGCGGACCCGACGTCCATATAATTGTAAGTCAATGAATATAGTACATTATTGCAGAGGCCGGGAAGTAAGGGATTGCTGGACGAGTATGAGTTACAAGGACGAGCGTCAGCGAGGCCTTACATTAAGACAAGTCAAGCAATCCCCGTTCCCGCCGAGGCATGCGTAGAATTGTTCTCAAACAATGCGAGGAAATAATAAAAGACTAAAGAGAGGAAGATTTATAATAGAAAATGTAAAAAATATTAATTAACACTACAATTTATACAATACAATTGCTAAAGGAAAGTGTTGTTTTTCCAGGCACATTAGTACCTAGTAGTCTGCAGAACTTCTGATGATATGTTTGAATGTATATCTTATTACTGTATTTTCGTTATCGCTCTTTTCACTATCACTCATTTCCGCAACCAAAATACAAAAAAAAAACGAAAAAAAAAACCGTGTTACCGCCATTTTCTTTTTTTTTTAAGTAAGTGGTACAGGTAGGTATGCCTGTTTACATATTTCATTGTTAGTAGGTAGATTTAAAAGTTTACTACGAGAAGAGGACATTATGGATTTTCATACTAACTTTGCAGGCCTTGGCCGGAAAGAAGTCACACGGTCCATACATGACAAACTTTCCGTGTTCGTTTTTTGAAAAATAAAAATACAGGGCGAAATACCTAGGTGTGTCGAGGTCGCTCCCAGAAGTCCTCAACAAACCCAGGAGGATGCCGAGTTACTTGGAACAGCCCGGATGGCCCAGATGTCGAGTTGCGGACACTAGCCCCTTATTGTTATAAGAAGAATACGAAGGGTAAGGGAGTACGTACTGTGATGTTCCTGGCGCTGCCGGAGCCAGCCCTCGCGGCGTACCCATTGAGGTTGATCTCGCGTACGCTCACGTACAGCAAGCTGCGGTACTGGTAGTGGGCGACGGCGGCCGGCGCCAGCGGGAACGGTAGTATCTCTTTGCACGGGCGAACGTTGTCGTCTGCAATTTGGTTTATATTTACAGATGGAAAATAATATATTTTTTTTATAATATCGAACGACGAGACGAACTAGTCGTGCTCCTAGCAGTAAGCATTACGCCTATCCTCACAATGTTTTTACTTTTGATGCACTGCAACGCGCTTCCCACGAAGGTGGTGGCGAAAATCAGTGCTTTACTGTTGGCCAAATTTTCCACTGAGTCACGACCTATTTGGCTTGCTTTAGCACACACAAGCTGATGATCATTAGGTCAGTATTATGTTTTTATTTATTATTTTATTTATTATCAACTTACTGTATTATTTTGTTGTGTGTGTGATGCAAGACAATAAACGTTTTATCTATCTATCCATGACAGTTGTAGTGCAACACAGAGATTTGATTCGCGAAGACCGGAGGGGTACTGCCACGGTACTGCGCCCGTCGCCCTGAGACTTAAGTTGACAAGTCCCATTTGTTTGTAATTTCACGAGTCCGAGACTATACAAATTTTGCAACTAATTTTCATTTAGATTTTTTATTTTTTTTATGTTAATTTTACTTCTTATTTAGAATTTTCCAAATTAATAACTAGTTTTTTTTTATTTTATATTATTCGAATCTAGAAAATTCGGACCCATTTCGGATGTCGCTTGTGCACTAAGTCCTATTCGAATCCAAGGAAATACGAATATCGCTTGTACACCTAGAGATAAAATGATCCCTGTGACATTTCTGACGGTCATTTCTCGGTTTCGGAACTGGGGGTCTACTCTCGATCTAAGTCCGAAACAATTACTGTCACATAAGTAATATTCGACTAAATTAAAACACAATATCAAGTATGGAGTCATTCGCATCGTGCGTTTTTTTAATTTGGTCGAATATTACTTATTTGAAAGCATGCAGCAGATAACGCTCAATCAATCATTGCTACTTTACTGCATTACATCCTGGGGCGGTGCACATAAGACCACCCTGATAAACCTGGAAAGAACGCAGAGAGCTATTCCTTATATATCATATATTCCTTATATAACTTCCGTCCTTTCGATTATCCAACCCGCAAACTCCTAAACGAGTGCGACGTCCTCTCGGTTCGGCAACTGTTTATCCAACAATTAATTTCGAAAAAGCACTCAATTACACCATTTGATTCCGTTACTTAAACCAACCACAGACGAATCGAATCGAGTGATTCCTCTTCAACTCGTGCATAACTCCGCACAGAACACTCGCCATCGAGTATATAACCATAAATAGAGACGAAATGTCATTTAATTTGTTTGAAAACTATTCTGCCATATCATTACTGTGACAAATGCGCTCCGATTGGCTAGCCCGAGTTCGAAACAATGGACGGGTGTCGTCAATGGGTGTCGTCAACTGTTTCACTTCAAATCGACCAGTTAACTAGAGCTTTGCTGTAATGGACGAAAATTGCAAAATTACATATTTAATTACCGATGAAATGTGAGTCCGTTTGTTTTGTAATTAGATGTTTTGCTGTTTTTCCCACACCATCGAATAGAATAGCACGGCATTGTTAGAGATATTATCTTTTTTACAATAAATACAGAATATTTTTTGGAATATACGGAGACGTACACACAGGTCAGTAGTTGGCCTGTCTATATTTCAGTGCACACTGGAATTGATATTTATAAGAGCTGTATCGCTAATGTGTTACCAGGAATTTATGGCCCTTATCTCGTCTCTATTTCTGGTTATATACTCGATGACACACGCATAAATTGTTTTGCTTCCTTGGTACTTTCCTTTACTTTAAATTAAATTCTACTTTGCATTATTTCGCCATGAATAGAATAGAATGTAAAAAGACCGTCAAATTGTGGCCTAAGAGTAAAACTTACAATGAAACAGAGGACTTGCAGGAAGTTGTTTCAAAATTATTTTTATA